CTGCGCTCGCGCCCTCTCCTTCTGCAGATCCAAGGTCGCCTGGAGCCTTTGGCGTGATCTCGTTTCGGTTCAGGGTTTAGTGTTTGGGGCTTAGGGTTTAGGAGTTCTGGGCTTGTAATTTAGGGCTTCAAACCCTGATCTAGGGTTGGAGACTAAAACCAGAACCCAAAGCCCAAAATCCTAAACCCGAAAACCCTAGTAATAGGGAGCAAACAACCAAATCCCAAAACCCCTAACCCTAAAACCAAAACCCTAAACTCCCTAATTGGAAAAACCCTAAAAACCTAAGCCCTAAATCCTAAGCCCCAAACCCTAAACCCTCCCGAAACTTCGAGATTTGTAGGGTTTTGGATTGCTCGAGTTGCGACTCACAAGGTGACAGCTGAACACTTCTGGGTCAGCCCCAGGCCGGGGTGAGGCTTCTTTAGGGTTTAGGGTTTAGGGTTTGGGGTTTAGGGTTTAGGGTTCAGGGTTCAGGGTTGAGAGTTTAGGGCTTAGGGTTGAAGGAAGTCGGGGCCAGAGTGCCAGCGATGCTGTAAGGATAGAAGGCTGGCAGAAGGAACGCCTGGGGTACTCGCTGACATCCCGGGTAATGAGGCGCAGTGGAGTTTGAAGGAACCGACGCTGCAGCCTGGACGCTACCTTTAGCAAATGCCAAATCCCAAGCCCTAAGCCCAAAACCTCGGCCGCAGTCCTTAACCCTAAACCATAGACCCTAAACCCTGACCCCTAGACCCTGAACCCTAAACCCCGAACCCTCAACCCTGATCCCTAAGCCCCAAACCCTACTCTCCTGACTGAGCTGCTTCGGGGTGGATTTGATTGTTCTTTTTTTGTTGCGGGGGGGGGGGGGGGGGGGCTTTGGGGTAACGGTTATATAAGGTTTAGGGTTTATGGTTTAGGGTTAGGGTTTATAGGGATTGTTCAGGGTTTAGGGGTTTTAAGTGTAGTAAGCTTCTAAGGGGTTCAGGGCTTGAAGTTGAGTGGGTGTAAGGACTTGGATTTTGTACCCTAAACCCCTAAACCCTAAACCTTAAATCCAGCTAAGGAAATCGGTTTAATGCTGCAGCTTCGGGGTGTATGGTTTTAAGGCTTATAAAAATAACTTGCGCTGCGGCATGCCATCGGGTATTAGGGTCTAGGATATGGGGATTAGGGTTTAGGGTTTAGGGGCACAGCTGTACCGGGTGGCTCTTGTATGGTGGCATCCTTCTCCCGGGAAGCGTCTGAGAGCTGCTGCAAGGACACGTCCTTCTCCTCGCTGCCCTAAACCATGAAGCCTAAACCTTCAGGTGTTCGGGCTTAGGGTTTAGGGTTTGGGGCTTAGGGACCCCTTCGAATTCCTGCTCCCCAAGTTCCGTTTTGCTTTGGGTCGAGCCAGTTGCCTTAAGATTTTACACGGGCCATGAAATTGTTGCCTAAACTCAAGGCAACCAAGGAAGAAAAACGGTGCCCTTTTTGGGTTAAATGAGGTTGTAAGGGAAACCAGAATAAGGGCCAATTCTGGGTCCTACTTGCATGCACACACACACACACATGCGCACCAAGGTTGTGATGGGTACTCATCTTCTCACTCTCCGCGATATGCACCCCTAAACTCCCCTAAACCCCAACGCAAACTCGGCGGCAAAACTTGCCTCAAGTCGGCGCTTGCCTAATAGTTAATAAGCAAACTTGCCTAATGGTCGATGGCCACGGCAAACCCCCACCACCCCCGCCACCACACGCCCCACCCCACCCACCCACCCACCTCCCCAACGTCCCTAGACCCCAGACCCTAGACCCTAGACCCTAGACCCTAAACCCTAGACCCTAGACCCTAACCCTAAACCCTAAACCCTAAACCCTATATACCCTAAACCCTAAACCGGTCCTTGGTCTCATCCTGGAGCTTCTGGAGAGCCGCGGCGGCCTCATCCCGCGCAGTGGAGAGCTCCTCCTGGAGGTTCCAAAAGTAGCAAAGGGTTCCGTTCGGGTTTAGGGTTTAGGGTTTAGGGTTTAGGGTTTAGGGTTTAGGGTTTAGGGTTTAGGGTTTAGGGTTTAGGGTTTAGGGTTTCGGGTTTAGGGTTTCGGGTTTAGGGTTCGGGGCTTAAGGCTGACAAGGGTTAAGGGTTGATGAGGTGACCCCAAACAACATGTGTCTTATGGCCTCTGGTACCAACACAGCCATCCATACAACGCCTTAAGCCCTAAACCCTAAACCCCCAACCCTAAACCCTAAACCCTAAACCCTAAACCCTAAACCCTAAACCCTAAACCCTAAACCTCCCAGGGGGGGGGGGGGGGGGGGGGGGGGGGGGACATTGGGGTTAGGTCTTCAAAGCCTGAGCTGCCACCTTGAAACCAGACATGCGAGACACAACTTGCTGTAGGGTTGAGGGTTTAGGATTTAGGGTGTTAGGGGTTTAAGGGTTAGAGGTGTGGGGGGGTCTAGGGTATAGGGTTGAGGAGTTTAAGGGCTCAGAGGTTTCGGGCTTCAGGAAACAAGCTCCTAAGCCTATGCCCGGAACCCTATGCCCAGAAATCCGATCAGAAGATTTGCTGCGACGTGAGACAATCTCAAGCTCTGGCCCGTGACACACCCTAAACCCTAAACCCTAAACCCTAAACCCTAAACCCTAAACCCTAAACCCTAAACCCCAAACCCACCTCAATCCCTCCATCCCCCAACTCCAAGCGTCCAGCTGGCCCTGGACTTGTTCCAGCTCATCTCGGACATCAGCTCCCTGGGCCTCTTCCTGGATCTTAGGGTTTAGGGTTTATAGGCATTTATAGGGTTTAGGGTTTAGGGTTTAGGGTTTAGGGTGTAGGGTTTAGGGTTTAGGCTTCAGGGTTTAGGGTTGAGTCACGGGTTGAGGGTTTAGGGTTCAGGGTTTAGGGTTCAGGCTGTAGTTGCTAGAAGTGGGACCTTTGCTGCGAAACGTGTTGTGCCCCATTGTACACTGATTAACGTCAAGGGCCCATGTACCTCAGAGCCCTTCAAAAAGGTAAGGGGACATACTACGGACCATGTAACTACTTAGATCCTTCTTGGGCGGCTAGGGGGTCAAATCAGACTCGTCTTTTGCCTCCACCCTAGACCCTAGACCCTAGAACCTAGACCCTAGACCCTAAACCCTAAGCCCTAAACCCTGAACCCTAAACCCTAAACCCTAAACCCTAAACCCTAAACCCCAAAACCCTAAACCCTAAACCCTTAGCCAAGCGGCCTGCTTCAGCCGGGAGCGCAGGGTCCCCTGCACCTTGAGCAGCTCGCGGTTCGTCCCCTCCAGGCGGTGGAGCTCGGAGGCCAACGCCTCCATGTGTTAGGTTTAGGGTTTAGGGTTTAGGGTTTAGGGCTCAGGGTTGAGGGTTTAGGGGGCCATGGCCTCCGCCGCGTCGGCTGCGGACGCGGCCGCAGCATCCTTCTCCGCCCTGCAGTGTGGGCGGGGTGGGACCCTGAGGGTCCATGTGCGGTTTAGGGTTTAGGGTTTCGGGGTTTAGGGTTCAGGGTGAACATTGACAAGCCTACTGCTGGACGCCAACCCAATCGGCTGCAGTGCATCTCATTTCAAGAACACGAACCCCAAACCTCCCCCCCAAAGGGGGCGGGGGAAGGGGGGGGGGGAAGGTGAAGGTTCGAGAGCTGACCCTAGGGTTTACTTGGGATGTTCCCCCTCCTGATACAAACAGTCCTCCCTATTATGATCGTGGGCTCTGAGGCATCTCCCTAAGCGTCCATGTACCTATGTAGCATATACTTGGCCCCTAAAGCTACTATATAGGAACCCCTTTAAGGGAACCCCTTTAAGGCCCAAGTATCTACTATATAGGTGCATGGACCCTTTGGGTCTGTGCAAAATGATGCAGCTCACTACCATGGCCCTCCAACGGCGACGGCAAACGGTGTGAGGCCCTGTTGCGGCTGCCCAACAGGGTTTAGGGTTTAGGGTTTAGGGTTTAGGGTTTAGGGTTCAGGGTTCAGGGTTTAGGGTTTGGATTTGGGTCTCCGATTGCAGCCTTCGGGCAATTCAACACCCCCCAGAAACTTCACGGGACATGCTGCGCTGGGTTCTTTTTGAAGGAACTGAAATGGGGGTTTCCAAAAATAGGGGTACCCTTTTTGGGGGGTCCCTTTAAGGGGCTTCTATTCTGTTTGGGATATAGCAAGAGGGTACCCCTATTTTTGGGAAATACCCAAATGATGAGCTGCCATGATAATTTGCCATTAAACCTCTTCCTTAACAGTGCAGGGTTTGGGGGCTTACGGTTTGGAGGGTTGGGGGCTTTGAGCTTGGTGTTTCGGGGGTTTGAGGGAAGAGGGTTTAGGACTTAGGGTTTAGGGTTTGGGGTTTGGGGTTTGGGGTTAAGGGCCCAAAGAAACCTTAAAAACCCTAAACCCCCCGAGGCCCTGCGGCTGAGCGACCGCAGCTCCTCCAGCTGCGCTCGAAGGTTTGCCAACTCGGCGGAGGATGCCTCGCGAAGCTCGTGATTGGCAACTTAACCGGGTTTAGGGTTTAGGGTTTAGGGTCAGCATGGGTCCCATGTAGCTACCCTTAGCAAAAGTATGCCAAAGGGCCTGCCAAGGCTGTCTGGTCCCCGAAATTCGTGTTGAGCAATCTTGTATGCCACCTAGGCAATAAACCCTGGCCCCTAAGCTCTAAACCCTGCGCCCAATATGTGAAACGAAACCTTAAACTATAGGCTCCTTAAGGGAAGGGGATTTCTTGAAGGGGGGGTAGGTACCTCGGAACCTTAGGGCCTTAAGGGACGCTTAGGGAGCCTTAGAGAATGGTGGGGAGTATTTTGGGGACCCTTGGGTTACATACCCCCTTGAACCCTCCTCCCTTAAGGAACCGATATACGGGCTTCAAGGCTTGGGGACATGCTTGGGGGATGGCTTCTCTTCACTTTGTAGGGTTTAAAGGCTTCCGGGCAGGGGGGGGGAAGACTGGTTCAGGTTTAGGTCAGGTCCTCGTCGGCAGCTGGCACGGCCGCCGGCTTCTCCGCCCTGGCGTGTCGCGGAGAGAGAGGAGCATCTAGGAAGGGTTGGGGGTATGGGGCTTGGGATTCAGGATGGGTTAGGGTCTAATGAGAGGGTTGGCAGAATAGCTTCTGGTTCTTCTTCTTCTTGGGCGCACAAACCCTAAACCCTAAACCCTGAACCCTAAACCCTAAACCCTAAACATCGTTTTTTCAAGGAGGCTTCCAAAAAAGAAAACGGGAGCGCCGCGCCGGAGCGCCCATGGCGGTCGGCTACAGCGCTGCTGAGTCAAACCCGAAGCCTTACTCTAAACCTCCAGTGGCTTGGGGTTTAGGGTTTAGGGATGAGGGTTTAGGGTTTAGGGATTAGGGTTTAGGGATTAGGGTTTCAGGGTTTAGGGTTTAGGGGCTGTGCTTATGCTTGAGGGCTCGGGGGTTTGGGGGAATTCAGGCTACGGTGGGATTGGTGACTTTGAATGTTCAGGCTTTTGGAGGTGGAAGGAAGGAAGCCCAAAAGCCCCAAACCCCTGAACCCTAAACCCTGAACCCTAAACCCTGAACCCCTGAACCCCTGACCCCTGAACCCTGACCCTAAACCCTAAAGGAAGCCCCAAGCCCTACACCACCCCCAAAAAAAGACCCTGCGGCTGAGCGACTGCAGCTCCTCCAGCTGCGCCCGAAGTTTGGCCAACTCGGCGGAAGCCTCCTGAAGGGTTTAGGGTAAGTTTAGGGTTTAGGGTTTAGGGTTTAGGGTTTAGGGTTTAGGGTTTAGGGTTTACCAAAAAATTGATAGGGTTACCTACGAGTACTCAGGTCCTCGTTGGCAGCTGGCACGGCCGCCGCCTTCTCCGCCCTGGAGCGGGTGAAAGAACTTTAGGGCGGTTTGGGGGCAAGGGGCTTGGGATGTAGGATGCTTCTGGCCTAGACCCCTCAAGTACCCTGTAAGATGCCCAGAATACCCCCATTAAGGTACCCTTAGGTCCCTTATTGAGGGGTGCTTGGCGGTGTGCAGGAGGGTGTAAAGAAAAGGTAGGCGGAGGATATTTTTCTTCTTGGGCGCATCAGATGTTCAAGGAGGCTTTCAACCATCAACCCGAAACCCTAAACGCAAACCCTAAACCCTAGACCCTAAACCCTAAACCCTAAACTGGGGCTTTGCATCTTCAGGATTTGGGAGGAAGCCCAGAACCGTCAACCTCCTGAGGCACTGCAGCTGAGCGACTGCAGCTCCTCCAGCTGCGCCCGAAGTTTGGCCAACTCGGCCAAAGTGGCCTCGCGAAGGGTTTAGGGATTAGGGATTAGGGTTTAGGGTTTAGGGTTTAGGGTTTAGGGTTTAGGGTTTAGGGTTTAGGGGAGCTCGCCCTACCAGCAGAAGTTCATAGAGCCCAGGCTTGAAGGGGTCGAGGAGGCGAGTAGGTTACTAGGCCCCACAATCATCATCAACGTTCCTATTAAGACTTAGGGTTTAGGGTGTAGGGGTTTAGGGGTTTAGGGGTTTAGGGGTTTAGGGGTTTAGGGGTTTAGGGGTTTAGGGGTTTAGGGGTTTAGGGGTTTAGGGGTTCAGGGGTTAGGGGGGGGGGGGGGGGGGGGGGGGGGGGGGGCTTACAAGGATGTGACAGGCCAAGCTGGTATACGTCGAAGTACTTAGAAAATGAATGGGTTTCGGATGGATCCTGGAAAGCTACTCAACCCTAAACCCTAAACCCTATTTCCTCGAAACCCTCGAAACCCTGATCCCCTCAATTCCCGACACCAAACATCCTAAATACTAAGCTCATGTTCAAATCGGCGGGGGTGCTGTGTGCGAGAGCCTTCTGCAACGTTAATGGCGCCTTTCCGTTGGAGGGTTCACAGTCCTTTAGCACTGTGAGGCGACAATCCTGTAGCACTGTGAGGATCCCGAAATTAAGCAAAGAACCCCAAACCCCCAAGCCTTGCGACCCCAAGCCTTAAACCCTATAAGTCCTAAACCTTGACTCCCTTGCTTAAGTCTTTTTTGAATCTCGGGATCTAGGAGGAGCTTCGAGACTTGCGGACGCGTGAGGGCTTTGGGATTGATTCCTCTCAACTTTATAGCGTTAAAAGGCACCCAGGATTTAGGGGATTTATACTACAGGGGGTGAAAACTGGTTAAGCATTGACTGTTCCGCGCGGGGATTAGGGGTGGCCCAAAAAGTTGATAGGGTTTACCTACTCACGTCCTCGTCGGCAGCTGGCACGGCCGCCGCCTTCTCCGCCCTGGAATGTGGCACTGAGAACGGAGCATTGAGGGAGGTTTAATGATTTCGCCGAACTCTCAGCCTTAACTTAAACCCGAAACCCGAAACCCCAAACCCTTTCAAACCGCAACCACAAACCCTAAACTCTAAACTCCACAAGCTCCAGGGTGTGGGGTGTATGGCTTCAGGGTTGTGGACGAACTCGAGGTTGATATTTGGTTTAGGGACTGGGTTTAGGGCTCTGGGCTTCCTGTTCAAGGAACATAGACTGAAGCAGAGACCGAGAAAGGGCTTGTGATTTTGAGAGAAACTTTGCTAGTTTTGAGGAAAATGAAGGGTACATGTTTCAGATACTAGGTGCCAGGGTGTGTCTGTGCTTTAGCTACAGGGCTCTTCAGGGAGGGGGGGTTCAAGGGGGGCTATGTAACCCAAGGTTCCCTAATACTCCCCACCGAAGCTTCCACTAGGGCGGCTATGTTTAGGGTACCGATATCTGGCTAAACCCTAAACTACCTTAAACCCTGAACCCTAAACCCTAAAACTCCCAACCCCTAAACCCCCCCCCCCCCCCCCCCCCCGCCCCCGCCCCCACGCCCCTGCGGCTGAGCGACTGCAGCTCCTCCAGCTGCGCCCGAAGCTTGTCCAACTCGGCCGAAGAGGCCTTGCAGAAGGATAGCTTGCCCTGTTTGGGAGTACGTAGCCCTAAACCCTAAACCCTAAACCCTAAACCCTAAACCCCTAAGCCCTAAATAGTTTTAGGGTCTGGGGGATTTGGGAAACCGGGGCTTAGGTTCTACTGCTTCTAGGGTTTGGGTTTGTGCTTCTCAGAGTCTAGGGTCCAGGCCTTGGGCTTTGCAGGTTTAGGCTTCAGGGGTTATAGGGCTTAGGGTTTAGGGTTTTATTTAGGGTTCATGGTTCAGGGTTTATAGGGCTTAGGGTTGCGGTTTCGGGTATCAGGGTTTAGGGTCTATAGGGTTCAAAACATGACCCGCTCAAGCGCCACTCAAAGATGCGCAGCACTTGTTTTGGGTTAGTCTCGGCTTCTTGCTCCGGGACTCTGGAGTCAAAATGTCTCGTGCTGGGGAGATATCTTCCCCCATAGAACTCACGATAAGCCGCCTGGCATCGCAAGGCAAAGTCGGACGCCTGCCCCTGCACCTCTTGACCCTAAACCCTAAACCCTAAACCCTAAACCCTAAACCCTAAACCCTAAACCCTGTACCTCTTGGGCCTGTACCTCTTGGGCTTGAGATTCGCTCGGGCTTGTTGTGGGATCGTCGGCCTGCATGCCCGTCCTGGTTCCGCCCATGCAGTGTACATTGAGCTTCATCACGTCTTCCAGGCGATAGACGCTCAGGTGGTGGGCACGGGACTCGTGTTCGCAGAAGGCCAGCTGGTGAAGCCAGCGTTCGACGTTGCACGTCGAGGTCATATACGTGATGCTGTGGGCGATGATCGGAATCCTCTTTCAGCCGCAGCATTACATCCTTTACTAACAGTTTCGGATTTTAGGGAATCGGCTATTTGAATCTAGGGGGGAAAAGGCTACATATCCTTTGGGCGTTGCCCGCAGCCTTGAAAACCCAAACCCAAGCCTTGGGCTCTAGGCTTAGGGTTTAGGGTTTAGGGTTTAGGGTTTTAGGGTTTAGGGTTTAGGGTTTAGGGTTTAGGGTTTAGGACCCTAAGCCCTGAACCCTGTAGACCCATGGCTTTACAACGGCGCAGGGTTGAGATATAAACCCGTATAGTGTTCACAGGGCTTGCCCTAACCCCAAAACTTCTTAAACGTCCAAACCCTAGACCCTATACTTCTACACCCTAGACCCTATACTTCTACACCCTAAGCCCTATACTTCTACACCCTAAACCCTACACCCTAAAATTCTCAACCCAAAGCCCCAAAACCCTGAACTTCTGGACCCTAAAACACCCAATTCAAGAAACTTCTCCCTGAACCCTAAGCTTCTAAACCCGAAAGCACCCTGTGTAAACCCTTAACCATAAAATTGCGGGGCCTCTCCCCCCGCAGACTCTACGGGCGCCGGTTCTGGCGCAGGCAAAGCGGTCCTGCAGCATTTTCTTGCTCATTTAAGGGGGTTTAAGGGTTTTGTTTTCTTGTGTGTTTAAGGTTTCAAGGGTCTAGGATTTAGGCTTGGGGGTTTAGCGTTTAGAGGGTTTGTTGACGATAAGGGTTTGCGGTTTGGCACTTTTAGTGCTACAGGTTGGGCTGTGGGGTCCCAGACTTTCAGGCTTGCGGGGCTTCGGAAGCTCAATTGAACTCTACACATATGGATGCTAGACCCAAGAGTAACCCAGGAATAAAAGGGCGCCCTTTGTGGTTTGAAGGGAATTTTTTGGGATGTTACGAGCAGCCCTGAATAGGATAGTATTACGCCCTCTTCTGATCCCTATTAAGGACTGTTGGTATAAAGGGGGAACACCAGGTGATTCTGAGGGCACCTAAACCCAAACAAAAAGGAGGAATAAGGGCCTGCTCTGGGTCCTAGTAGCCCTAAACCCTAAACCCTAAACCCTAAACCCTAAACCCTAAACCCTAAACCCTAAACCCGTGGGATAGGGGTCTGCTCTGGGTTCTAGGATGAGAAGGAAGTACGATGTGAAGGCATCATCCCTCGGAGCTGCGGTTTAGGGTTTAGGGTTTAGGGTTTAGGGTTTAGGGTTTAGGGTTGGTCCACCCTCCACTCGCACTATCGTGACTAGGATCCCGCAAGCCAGTAATTAGAGAACCTGGTCATGCAACACAGACTCAATGCCTTCGCGCCACGGAGAAACAGGAAGAGGTGGGCTT